TCTCTGCTCTCTCCCTTTGTTAGTCCCACATGGCACAATTTCAATTATGTTTATGGCCCTGCACGTCCTAATTACAACACAAAAGAGAAATCAGTGTAAATCACACATGTCACGCCCACGAGCCCGTGTGTCAAGGCCTGACCTGGATTCTAGGCCCAAGAGATTGAGCCATTACAGGTTTCCTGTAAACCCTGGGACAGGGCCACTTAGCCTGTCTTGAAATGCAGCCCATGGAGCCCAGCAGCTGTGTCACGAAGGAGGGGGTCGTGGGGGTCTTCCGACCGCCAGAGCATGGGCAGTGTCACGGGGAGTCTCTCACCCAAGGGGCAGCTGTTGGGTATTGCACATATTTCTGGTGATTGACCCCTGCAGGGCAAGGTCCTTGTATCTAGACCTGGAACTCCCACTTCTTTGCTGAATAATTAGAAGACTTTTACAGTTGGAAGAAAAACATGAGAGAAATTTGTCAGTTTCACAGTAGCAAACACATCTGAGAGGTGTAGGGAGGGGGAGTGCAGAGAGGGATGGAGGGAGTGGTGTGGAGAGGGGTGTAGGGTGCAGGGAGGAGTGCAGAGAGGGATGGAGGGAGTGGTGTGGAGAGGGGTGTAGGGAGGGGGAGTGCAGAGAGGGATGGAGGGAGTGGTGTGGAGAGGGGTGTAGGGTGCAGGGAGGAGTGCAGAGAGGGATGGAGGGAGTGGTGTGGAGAGGGGTGTAGGGTGCAGGGAGGAGTGCAGAGAGGGATGGAGGGAGTGGTGTGGAGAGGGGTGTAGGGTGCAGGGAGGAGTGCAGAGAGGGATGGAGGGAGTGGTGTGGAGAGGGGTAGAGGGTGCAGGGAGAGGTACAGGGAGGGATGTAGGGTGTGGGGAGGGGTGTAGGGTGTGGGGACAGGGTGCACAAAGTGAGAAGTGCACAGGCCTCACCTCAACATGCCCCTTTTGTCCCTGGGGGTTTCACAATCCTGACCAGACAGGAATAGACATAGGTGGGTCCTTCCTGTTCTGCCGGTTCAGGGCGGTGAGGATACTCAGCAAGGTGACACAGAGTACACAGGAGAGTACTCAGAAGGGTACTCAGCACAGTTTGGCAGTCAGTACCCAGGAGGACTTAGATACCAGTACTGCACAGATCTTCAGCCTGTTTGCTTTTCAGTCAGCATTTACTAACTGTGATGTGTTGTGTATCTGATTAAATGGGGCTGGGAAGCCCATGCTGGGGGGAGACTCTTGTGCAATGGGAGGTCCATGCTGTGGGTTGTGGGGGAGACTCTTACTGCAGTGGGTAGTCACATCTGTGGGGGAACTGAGTGGCTCCAGTCTAGGGAACTAGGGAACTCTGCTGTTATCCACCTTGGGGCCTAGAACATAATGGAGTTGGTTTTGTCCTTTCCACTGTGGTGGGGAGACCCCGGCTGTAGGGGGAGACTCTTCTGCACTTTGGGCAGAAATGTTGCTTCACAGTCATGTGGGGCGGTTTCAGCCCCCCTTTCCCGCATTTCAAGTTTACCATGGGCAGACCCTTGGTCCCACCCTGGGCCCCCTTAAGTCCCTGGGCTGTGAGGACCAAGCAACCTCCTCCCCTCCCCTCCCTTCCTTTCCCCTTCCCTAGGACTTGGCAATCTGGGGTCAGGGTGAGGTCACCCGAGGGCAGCAGAATGAGGTATAACCCTATAGGACCACAGAACACATGGAACAGGGCCATTGACGTTTTCTGAATGTTTTAAGAGGAGCCCCTGGGGACACCCTGACTTGTTCTAAATGTTCTTAGAGCACCTAGGGGGAGCCCCTCAGGGACACCCATGAAGTGTTCTGGGAGTTCTAAGAGCACATAGGGGGTGGTAAGGCCCTCAGGAACACCAGTAACGTGTTCGGGAGGTTCTAAGAGCACCTGGGGGTAGCCCTTCAGGGATACCCATGGCATGTTCTGGATGTTCTAAACCTGTAGTGGGTGGGTGGGGTAGGGGGGCACAGGTGGAGCCCAAAGGGCAGGAGCAGACTGGACTCCTAGGACCTGCTGCACATACAATACAAACACCTGTCAGGCGGGGAGGGGGGTGACTGTGGCCATGAGACCAGAAGTTTGAGACCAGGACCATGGGACTTCAGAGTGGAGAAAGCCAGGGGAGGGGAGGGCGGGGAAACAAGAGGGGAAGGATAGGGAAGGCAGGGAATGGAAGGGGAAGAGAGAGGAGGGGAGGGAATGGAAGGGCAGGGGAAAGGAGGGGAGGACAGATTGAGTGGTGCTCAGCAACATCCCTGAAGAAGCTGTTGGAAGGGGCCCTAACTGTGCAGAAGGGTTGAGGATGCAGTGGTTCCTGAGCAGAAAGGCAGGTCGGCCCTGTCACATCACATGGAAGGAGGAGCGGGGGCCAAAGTGCAGATCAAACACCCACAGTGCAGTAGGGATTGCAACACTGGCTGTTTGTTCCCTGGGGCAGCTGGGTCAGCTGGGTCAGCGCCCAGCAGGTCTCCCCGCCTCAGGTCCCTCCTTGTCCCTATCACCCCTTAAGGCAGCCTGTGTGGCCATCCCTTGCTTACCTCTCCTTCCTCCAGACAAGAGCCTCCCCATGCCCTATCACCCTCAACCCTCCATCCAGATGGGCGGGTCACTGACTCCAGGTGGCTGGGAACTAGCCTGTACCCAGTGCAGAGCTTGGTGAGTGACAAGTGACACAGGGTGTCCTAAGGACACTGGCTGCCATGCCTTGTTCATCCCCCACTCCTGGGTGTCTTCCCCTGACTTGGTGTCCCCCCAGTTACTTCGGTATCCCCGAAACTGCTTCTGTGCCCCCCAAATGACCTCAATGCTCCCCCACTTACCCGGTGTTCTCCCCTCGCTGCATCCGTATCTCCCAACTACCTTGGCGTCCCTGTCTGCTGCTTCCGGTCCCCCAACATAGAAAGTGTGTCCACCCTCGGCTACCTCGATGCTCCCCACCACCCCCGCCATTGTGTTCCCCCTTCTGGGTGTCTCCCGCCTGCAACGTGTCCCCCAGGCTGATTCGTTGTCACCTAACTGTTGGCATGTCCCCTACTACCTCCCTGTACCGACGACCCTTCCCCTCCGTGTCCCCGGCTACTTCGTTGTCCCCCCCCCTCCCCATCTGTGTCAATGTTCTCTCTAGCTGCCTTCTGTCATGCAAACTGCCTTGGTGTTTGTTCCTCCTTCTGGTTACCCTGGTGTCCTGCCTGCATCTGATTCAATGTCCCTCCAGCTGCTCTGTGTCCCCTGACTACTCAGTGCTCCCTCTCCACTCCACATCGTGCCCCCAAGCCCCTGCTGCCTCTGTCCCCTTCTGTATCTCAGACACCGGCCTGGAGGGCCTCCCGAGGGGTTGCATACCCTGTGGAGTCAGCTCCGTCCAGGTTATACCAGCTCTGCTGGGAGCTCTGCCCTCCATCTGGGGTAGGAAGGCTGAGCCAGTCCTAGCTGGTTCAGTCGCCTGTACAACCCCCAGGCTGGCTCACCAGACAGACAGGGGCTGAAGGGGTGGGGTGGGGGGAGGGTATCCCTGGCTCAGGGCAGAAGAATGCAGGGACCTTCCCTTCATACAGAAGGCACACAACTATGTCCTGACTGCTTGTTGTCACCACAGCTACGCCCCTGTGGGGACCTTCCCTGCACAAAGTAGGTCACAGCCCCGAGGGATCATTCCTGCACACAGTAGGCACACAAATATGTCCTGAGTGTGCATGTCATCATCACGGCAGCCACACCCTCGCGGGGACACACCGGCCTGGTGTCCTCCCTCAAGTCCATTCTGCTAGTGAAGATCCAGGGAGGACAAGGACGGGCCTCAGGTCAGTGACTGAGTGGACAGGCGGGGGGGAGGAGGGGGGGAGACACAGAGAAAGGTCTTACTGTGAGAGAGCAGAGATTCCCTGATCCAGGGAGCCACATGGGGGGCTTCCAGGAAAGCAGGGGTTCCAACCCCACCTCCGAATGTCACATGTCCACAGTGGATGTCCTGTGTCCTGTGCTTCAAAGAGGGCACAGGGGACTTTAGTGGGGGGGGGGGGCTCAACCTTTTGTGTCCTACCTGGTAAACTGAGACAGGGCGGGTGGGGGCGGTACAGCCTGTATAGTAAGACAACATCTCCTTCTACAGAAGGGAAACTGAGGCGCAGCTCAACCGGCCTCACACACACTTGCCCTGTTCCCTGAAGCTGGGACCCTATGGATGGCCAGCTGAGCTGCAGCCACGCAGACTGGATGTCACAGTTGTGCCCGCGGCTGTGGGATGTCCCCCTGCACCACCTGTCCATCCCAGGTAAGGGCAGGCCTCACGGGAGGGATGAGGAGGGTAAGAAAAGGCCACGCTGGGAGGAGCGGTCTCACAGGGGGAGGAGGACCCACGCAGGGGCGGACCTGGCTGACTCTCTGTGCCCTGAAGAGAAGAGGACCCTTCATAATGACTAGAAAGGGGATCTGGAGGCTGACATCAGGACAGGAAAGCGAACCAGGATGACATCAAGACAGGAAAGAGGACCGCGAGACAAGGACTTCACGCCGTGGATGTTGACACACGGGGGGTCTGGGCGATGCTTCACTCTCAGGGCAAGCTTCTGTGTCCCTGTGGTGTCCTCCATACCGCGAATGGAGCACATGCGGCTGTCTGGAAGCCTTTGGGTTCTCAGAGATTCAGACAAGAGGCCCTGGAGGCAAGAATCAAGCGCTTGTGCTCCAGGACAGAAGGGGTAGCCCCCAGTAAAGTTTCTAGGAGGGTTGAAGGAGCTGGGAGGACGTGAGCGGGACACGGGAAGCCTGGGTTGTCAGAGACAAGGCCCTATGACCTGCGTGGGTGGTCGTGGGTAAAGAGGGGTCGTGGAGAAGGAGGACAGACAGACAGAAGGACAGACAGAAAGAAAGACAGAGCCCTCGAGGGACTCCGTGCAGACCTTAGGACGGGCACAAGAGTGCAAGGGCTTTGAAGTGCGTCTGTCCTCAGGGAGCCATGACACCATGACATACTGCCTGAGCAGGAAGTCCCCAATCTCCAGGTCAGAGTCTCGGCTGCTTCACCTACTGGGGCGGGTCGCGCCCTGCATTATGGGGCCCATGGTGTTGAGATGGTCAGTCACACAGGTGAGTGGGGCGTGAGAGAGGGCCCAGGCAGTATGTGATGGACAGGGCGAAGGGGGACAGGGTGGGGAATGGAATGGGACTGAGTCCCAGTGGCAGGATTAGGGTCCTGATGATGGGCAGGGTGTGGGGAGGGAACTGAGAGTCCCTGGGGCAGGTGATAGATAAGCAGGGGGAGGAGACTGTGAGTCCCGGGGTGCTGTTCAGGTTTTTGGGTGTCCTGGGGTGCTGTGCACGGTGGTCACGATGACACCCAGGAACGAACCCCAACCCGCCGTCTGCTCCAGACTCTGGACGTGAAGCGGCAGCTGGACGCAGGGGTGAGGTACCTGGATCTGCGGATTGCACACATGCAGGGCGGCTCTGAGAAGAATCTGCACTTTGAACACATGATCTACACCACTGCGTTGGTGGAGGTGGGGGTGAAGACCAGGAGAAGGGGGAGTGGGGGGAGGGGCGGAGACTAATGTATGTCATCATGTGTCCTTTGACATCTCCAGGACACCCTCACAGAGATCTCCGAGTGGCTGGAGTCACACCCCCATGAGGTCATCATCCTGGCCTGCAGAAACTTTGAGGGGATGACAGGAGACTTGCATGAGTACCTCATAGACTGCATCAAGAACATCTTCGGGGACTCACTGTGTCCGCGCGGGGTGAGAAGGAGGATTGTGAGGATTGTGGGGATCAGGGTGAGGAAGGCATGGGCACGTGGGGGTCAGGTGAAGAGGGCATGGGAAGTTGATGTCATGGTGAAGATGGCATGGGCACATGCAATAAGGAATTCGTGGCCGCCCAGGGCATGGGTGCGTGGCCTCGAGGGTGTGTGGGCCCTTAGCTGTCCAATCCTCAGTTTCACTCAACCTGTTCCTCACTCCCATGCAGGACATCCCTACGCTGCGGCAGTTGTGGGCACATGGCCAGCAGGTGATTGTGTCCTATGAAGATGAGACCTGTGTGGGTCGCCATGCAGAGCTGTGGCCTGGGATCCCTTACTGGTGGGGAAACCAGGTGAAGTCCCAGGCGCTGCTGCAGTACTTGGAGACCATGAGGAGCTGCGGTCGCCCAGGTGCCACCTGGGACATAGCTGGAGGGGCACTGATGTCACTTGTCAGTCAGATAGGGATGGGGGTCTGTGAGGATGTCATCTGTCAGTCATGCACTGGGATATCACCCCACCCTTCCCCCTTCCCCTGCAGGTGGCCTGTTTGTGGCTGGCATCAATCTCACAGAAAACCTGCCCTATGTCCTCTCGCACCCATCCGGGTCCCTGGAGATGCTGACACGGCCCAACCTTCAGCTCCTCATGGCGTGGGTGCGAGCACAGCAGCCAGGGCCCGGATCAGGCTGCACCAACATCATCGCTGGGGACTTCGTGGGCTCCAACAGCTTTGTGGGTGAAGTCATTGGGCTCAACCAGAAGCTGCGGTGACAACAACCCGAGAGCAGGGGCAGGGTCATGGGGGTCACAGTCAAAAGGATCACGGAGGTCAGAGTCACTGATCTCTCCTGTCATCCCCTAGAAAAACCTGAGGCCCATGTGAGTCAGTCTGTGCCACATCCTGGTCACTCTGGTCACACTCCATTGTCCATGGAGGTCACATGACCTGTCACCTGCATCACCTGGGGCACTGGGTGCCTCTGTTCATTAAAACATTCAGAAGCCAAATGTGTGCAGCAGTGTGTTTATCTATTATAGCCCAGGCTAGACTTTCATGGGGAAATTTTTGCAGCATCTCCCATAGCCCAGCTAGGACTGGCCCAGCCTTCCTACCCCAGATGAAGGGCAGAGCTCCCAGCAGAGCTGGTATAACCTGGACGGAGCTGACTCCACAGGGTATGCAACCCCTCGGGAGGCCCTCCAGGCCGGTGTCTGAGATACAGAAGGGGACAGAGGCAGCAGGGGCTTGGGGGCACGATGTGGAGTGGAGAGGGAGCACTGAGTAGTCAGGGGACACAGAGCAGCTGGAGGGACATTGAATCAGATGCAGGCAGGACACCAGGGTAACCAGAAGGAGGAACACCAAGGCAGTTTGTATTTTTACAGTGTCTCTTGTAGCCCAGGCTAGACTCTTACAGGTAAGATGCAGGGAACAGCCTTGGACTCTGATCCTCTGGCCTCAGTTTACACAGGGCTAGGACACTGGGAACCCCAACTGAGCCATATCCCCAACCACTGAGATATAAGAACCCTACCCACTGAGTTGCATCACCTCCATGGTGGTAATTCCCACCATCTCATACACAAACGTAACAGGTGACTCATCATGACCCTGTGACCTCAGTATTAGTGTATTTTCAGGTCAGAGGGTTAAAAGGCCTCCTCACCCTACCTCCACCCCCTGAAGGTGGATCCCTCCCACCCACTCAGCCTGCAGGGATGCTGCTGTGAAGTCTGTAGCTGAGAGGATGGACACTGGCTATGAGGCCCGACCTGGCTAGGGAGTGGAATGTGGCTTCAGGTGTGTCTGTCCATCTCCCTCGCGGACCCTCCTGGCACCACTGTGCCCGGGGTAGCATCCCACAGTGTCCTGCAGCTGCCCCATCCCAGAACATGGAGGGGCAGAACACAGGGGTTGGGGGAAGAGCTGTGGGGGGAGCAGTGTTCAGCCACAGCACCATTTTCAAACTATCCCTATCCCTCCCTTCCCACATGGCATGGACCCTCCCCTCCCCTTCCCCAGTGACACAGAACCCACAGAGTCCACACATCGCCAGGTAAAGAGAGGGAACAAAGTGCAAATTCCGCTTTAATGAGCTGCCAGTCAGTCTGGGAGGGAGGAAGGGACAGGACTATTATGTGGCCATGACTTCCCATATCAGGTCCTCAGTCCATCTATGCAGTTGTCACTTAGGAATCAGCTGGGAGGAAGGGACAGGACTACATGGGGTCATCCACAAACACCCTCCCACGAGCTGAATCCACATCTGGTCCTGGTTGTCACTCAGGGAACAGCTGGGAGGGAGAAAGTGGTGGGACAACACCATGGCCACAAGCTGTATCCACACCCCACTCCAGGCTGTCACTCAGGAAACAGCTTCCAGAACCGGCCATAGGTGTCTTGGCTAATGATAACGGTCATATGGGCGGTGTCAGTCTTGGGCAGCTCCTGCACCTGCTACACCTTGGCCTCCTTGTACTGCCAGTTGCAGAGGGACCACTGTGGTGCATTCTGGGAAGCGTGCTGATGTCAGCGTGGTGCATGGTGATGAGCAGAGGGTGGTGCAGGCTGGGAAGCCAAGTTAACATCAGCATCGTGCAGACTGGGAAACAGTGCTGACAAGTGGGGAGACAGCACCATCTGTGAGGAGCATGATGGGAAATGTGCTGGCATATGCGTGGTGCATGCTGGGAAGTGTGCTGACATCAGCATAGTGCATGCTAGGAAGCATGTTGATACCGGGACATGTCCGTGGCAGGGAACCAGCTGCATATGTGTATGTGACAGCCCACTGCCCAAGCACCCTGTGACTCACCAGAGCTGGGGTCTCCCAAGCTGTAAACAGAGGGTGAGCACCCGCCATCCAGTAGCCTGCAGAACGGATTCCTCCAGCGTCGCCTTCAGCTTGTCTAGCCCATGGCCCAGGAGTGCAGACATGGCCAGGATGCAGGGTCCTGGGAGGCTGTAGCTATGTGGAAGAGGCTCAGTGGATAAGAGGAACCATGGGGTTATGTGGACATGTGTGGTGTAGATAGGTGAGTTGAGGACAGGTGCAGTGAGCACAGCTGTAGTGAGGACAGGTGAGGTGAGGACAGGTGCGGTGAGCACAGCTGCAGTGAGGACAGCTGCAGTCAGGTGAGGTGAGGTGAGGACAAGTGCAGCAAGGACAGGTGAGGTAAAGACAGCTGTGATGAAGACAGTTATAGTGAGGGCAGCTGCGGTTAGGACAGGTGCAGCGAGGACAGGTGCGGTGAGGACAGGTGCAGCGAGGACAGGTGCAGTGAGGACAGGTGCAGTGAGGACAGGTGCGGTGAGGATAGGTGCAGTGAGGACACCATGAAGATTCCTGCAGTGTAAACAGTGACACACACGCCTCCCCTGCCCCACTCACCCGGGAACCAGATCCATCTTGTTGTAAACTTCCAACATGGAGTTCAAGAGTGTCTTGTCTACACTGAAGCTGCAGTGTAGACAAGACTATGGCCTCTGTTGCTCCATGTTGGGGTAGCTCATGTCCCTCACATGCAGGATAACATCCTGTGAGGGGGGGGAGCAGTCAGGGGCCGAAATGTCATAGGGAGGGGTGGCAGGGGACGAGGAAGTGTTAGCCTGAGGAACACCAAGGATACCAAGTCCACATGGAGGGCAGATCCCAGGACATCTGGCCTACACAAAAGGCGGTTCCAAGGATACCAATCGATGCAGACACATGGATACCCACCAAATGGACCACATCCTCCAGCGTGGTGAACGACTGGATCAGGCTGCGTGACAGCTGTAACAGAAAGCCATGTAGATGACGGGCATGCACGAGGGCAGCAACCCCGTGTGTGCCGTGACATCTAGGGTTGTGAACAGATGGTCACACAGTTGCATGGTGGCCTCCCCGGTCAGGGCCTTGATGAGTGTGGTTTTCCCTGGAGGGAACATGATGATGTGAGAATGGGAAACACACACTGTATCCTGGGGACCCTCCCATGCATGAGATGTAGGTAATTGCATTCCAGGGACCCTTCCACATGTATCCTGTGCTGATATGTGGGTCCTGCACCCTGGGGACCCTCCCATGTGTGCCCTGTCCTGAGATGTGGGGCTACACCCCATGGACCCACATACGCATATCCAGTGCTGAGATGTAGTGCTGCTGCTTGGGGACCCTCACCACAGTTAGTGTAGCTGACGACAGACACAATGGGGAACTTGTGCTGCAAGCACACTCCGTCTTAGCACGCCCTGACCTTTGCCTCCTTCTCCTTCAGTGCCCATTGGCATAGCTCCGTGGATGACTCTCCTGTGGACATGGATATGCAAACTGGTATGTAGGAGCCAGATGCAGGTGGTCCTAGAAGTGTGAGTATCAAGGGACCCAGGTGAAGGGGGTACTCTGTGGGTGTACCCCACTGCATGTAGCTGGTATGCCCCACTGGACATTATGTAACTGGTGTTACCCACTGTGACAGCTGGGAAACTCTGCAGCTGGTTGGCTGGTGTTCCCACTGCCCTGGACTGTGTTCCCCACTGGAGGCCATGTGGCACCCTCACCTGACCCCATGATGTACCGTAAGCCCCTTCCTTGCTGGTCTAGCTGGTCTAGTCGGGCAGACCCGCTGTTCAGGGTAGACCTGGGATAAAAATACATGCTTAGTAGGTATCACTTAGTGAGTGTTAGCACTCAGATCCTGAGGTCAGGGCCAAGCCCTCCTAGGGCACAGTGGACAGGATAGGGTGTTAACCACCAAGGGGTATGCAGGTTTCTCTGTATGAAAGGGGATGTGGAGATGAGGAGGAGGTGTGGGGTGAGGAGAGGCATGGGATGAAGATGAGTGTGTGTTGTCTGGGTTTCTGTTCTGCCTGGTTTCTGTCCTCCCACCAGGTTCTACAGCAGTTTAGCCACAAAGAAAATCACACAGAGGTCTATACTAATGATAAACTGATTGGCCCATTAGCTCAGGCTTCTTATTAACTCTTATAACATATATTAGCACATTATTCTAGTATATGTTAGCCACATGGCTCAGTACCTTTTTCAGCAGAGCAGGTCACATCTTGCTTCTTCAGTGTCTAGACAGAACTCCAGAGAGAACTTCCCTCTTCTCAGAATTCTCCTGTTCTCATTGACCCACCTCTACTTTCTGCCTGGTTGTCCCACCTATACTTCCTGCCTGGCTACTGGCAAATCAGCGTTTATTTAAGACACAATTGGACAGAATATAGATAATTGTCCTGCACCAAGTGTGGGGTGGCCTGCCTGACCAGGGGTTGTAACGATTTCAGCCACATAAGGCTGATACTTCCGGGTTCTAGGATTCATGCAGGTGCAGACAAGCCCTCAGGCAGAAGTGCCTAATGGCCCCCAGGGATGTTAAAGGGCCTCATATGATCCATGTATGTCTCAGCACATATGTGAGCCCCATCATTGGTGTATGACGGAGCCACATCAACCCCCTGTGTGTATGAGCTAGGAAGCTTTTAAAAGCTGGATGCACCATCTTCCTCCCTCTCTCTGCACACTGATTTCCCAGGCTTGTGCATGCCCCCTCTAATAAACTCCTAAGCGTGCTGGTTGAGTGTCCTGTGTTTCCTTCTCATTTTTGCCAGGTAATCTCGTTGGTGTCATGAGACTTGGGAGGCTCTCCCACCCCGAGCCCCTCTCCCAGGGTCAGGATCTGGAACAGGGTATTTTTTTCCACAACAACCACGTGTTCCATATACCTGAGCACTACTTCTCTGCACACCGCCAGCTTCAATTGATGAGTTTCCCCATTCTGGTCAGCTTAACCATTTCTCTGAACCCAAGGAATTTACTGTTGAGCTTCCAGAAATCTGGTGTTCCTAGAAATGGGGTGATAATCCCCAACCACAGTCTCTAAGGCTACGGTTGAGCCCTTTGCTAACATTCATCTCTGAATTGCTTTCCTTAGCT